CTATAAACACTTATATTACGAATACTTACACAAGAAAAAGCTGACTATAATTTGCAGTTTAACCCACTGAACAAGTTACTTCGTTGAAACAACAAAATAACAAACTATAATTACCATGAATTTCATCTGAAAAGAACTGTAAATGACAGAATTCATACTCACCTAAGAGGAAGATGAGATACTGGGAAGCACCAATAAGCATAGGAAGAAATAGGGATTCAATTCGCAAGCAAGAGAACAGTTACAAGTAAATTAGGATCACATAACTCCACGAGTATCTTAAAACGAATTATATTTACAACCTACATACTTGAGTTTACATTTCAGAAACTGTGAACTCATCTCAAGCTTTTATCAAATCATGGTTCAAATATAAGGAAACAGACCTGGATTGCAAATAATGTGAAATGTAAATTCAGACACATGGTGTTACTTTGGAGCAATGGAGGAAAAGTGCAACAATGACAATGTTCAAACTATACTCTGCAACTACACGCTTTTTATGTTAACACACCTGGCACATAGTAAGCCTGAAAAGATGAATCAAAGGGAAATTGTATACATAACAGTGGCACCTGTACTCACTGTCTTAATTAGTAAAAAGTCAATAAAATGAGCAGAATCTAAACAGTATTTCCGATTACAAAATTTATCACATAAATCCATTTCAATGAGTAGGCAGTTAAAAATTAAAATAACCCTGCAACAGTCTAGATTACTCAAGCAACTTTCACAGTAAGAAAGCATTTTGATAACAAGTTTTGCCTTTAGTTCAAAATCTGCCATCACAATCCATAAAACATTTTTATTTTTAAATCTTATTTTCAGTCAGTAATTAAGTCAATGTACGTACCTATCTACCAGGCTACTGGACATCATCTCAGAAGATGATAATATTAAAATTTACTGCCATGAGAACCTCAAATCTCATACTAATAAAATGTAAAAATTATATTTTTTTTTAATTCGCTAGTGGGGGGTGGAGTCAAGCTGGGTCCACTCGGCACTGCGGCCACTGTTTGGCCTACTGTACTTGCCCCGGGTGATAACTTTTGAAAGGAGATATTTTTAGTGTTTAGTTGTAACAGTGGAATATTACACTTAATTTGTTTCCCTTAACCCTTCTACACTCCCAAACCAGCAAAATTAAAATAAATAAATAAATAAATAAATAGAACCCCTTCCATTTGTACTGAAAAGCAAATCACAACATACCTTTATCTACCATCCCTTGGCTACATTTTGCACTAGGAGGCACATGATAACTTTGTTTCTCTATTAATTTTGAAGTAAATCAAAGTAAAATTCTTTATTATGTTTTCAAATTTATAATAGATATCACTTTTATACAAACTGCAGCAAAAACTCACAGTGGCATTAATGACTCCGCAGAATAAACCTGCCGTAAGGGAGTTAATATTCAATTTTTACGTCCCCCTCTTAACCATCTCTGTGACAAATATTCCCCCTTTCAATATTTTTACCAGTTTAGTGTTTAATCTGCTGCACCAAGAGCAACAATAAATGATAACCTCAATAACATTCAATACAAACCAGTTTTAAAACTACACATGTGTGTTCAGAATACAGGTTTCTACTCCTGCTGATTAAATAAATTTACTTGCTTTTACTTTATCACTAAGATGTTTCCTTGCCAGTGGCCCTGTGCTGAGGAATTTCACTGACAGAAGGAAATCCTTGATTGTAATTAATCAGGTGTGTTCCAAATATCTTTCAATGAAGACAAGCATAATTATAGTGTACACAAGCTAGAGAAAAATAAAAGTGAAAATGAATAAGAAAGCTGTTCCTCCAAAGAACAGATTTGTAAAACCAATTGTCTTGGTGGCTGCATACAATCATCTTAATACATTCCTCCCACCAAATATGTGAGCATGTAAGATTAGATGTAACTACATACACTAAATAAATATCAAATCATTCTGTTCGACCATCCTGAAAATATTCATAACCTTTCACTAGTAAGTCTTATTATAGTTTGCCTGAAATATCTTTGAGGGTAGATCACATCTTGTGTCAGCAACCTTACAGAAAGAAAGTGCTGCTGCTCAACCAGATCTCTGATATGGTGAGTACAGTTCCCATAATATACTCAAAATAGACCCCACTGACTTCCTAATGATAATGTAACAATCTATATTACTATCTGATGATTACACAGGCTCAAATATGTTTTGAAGATGGTTATATGATTTCTCTGCCCTGTGAAACAAAGTTTTATGTTTTTAAATTTCTTATAAAATTGGGTATATAAGTACCAGGTGTCCAGATGAAAGGTATTCAAAATTAAAAATGTATATCTCAGAAACTAATTGTCATGACATGTTCTATATCCATTTTTGGATCTCTTGAACTTACAATAAATACAAATACAAATACACGTATCTGGTTTATGTCATCGGAAAGGAAAACTCTGGAAGTATTTTTTCATACCCAGATTACGAGCATACACCGCTACATTTTTGCCACCATGTTAGGAATCACCTGAACAGAGAGATGGCTGGGATATGAATTGGCAGAGGTGAACCAATCGCTTTGCATTCTAGGTCACCGGATTTAAACCCGGTGGATTTCTCTTGTGGGGTTGTGTCAAGAACATTGTCAACCAGATTAAGATCAACAACCTTCAACACCTGAAATCCCGCATAAGGGATGCTGTGGCTAGGGTACATACATACATGATTCATAGATTCACTGATCCGTTGTCCGAATTGCACCGGATATTGAACTCATCAATATAAGACTTGACTGCAGAAGTACAATCGTGTCAACAGCAAACAACCACACACAACCAAAAGCACCAAATAACCATAATTTACATTGTCATTCATAAATAAAATTGCAAGGAGTATAGTTATTAAATGTTATACATGCTTAGCAGAAATCTATTCATCTAATGAATAAAAAGCATTTGTTGTGAGGAAACTTTTCAGTGTGTGTTTAAAAATCTTCACATTATCACTCATCCTTTGTATATTTTGAGGAAGATTATTATAAACCATAATGCATGAATATAACACGCCTCTCTGGATTGAAGATAATCTCACTGATGACGCATGTAGTTTCCAAACTGTCTAGTGTTTATATGATGAATATTACTGTTGGTTTGAAAAAAATTGTGATTTCTAACAGCAGACATCAATATAGAATAGATATACAGGCCAGGAACCGTCAAAATACCCAACCTCTTAAAACCTTCTCTATACGAGTTTCCAGGACTCAAACTCAGCATATCCCTAATCGCTCTTTTTTGGGCAACAAATAAACTTTTCATAACTGGAGAAGAACCCCAGAATATAATACTATATTCAAGCTGAGACTGATAATAAGAAAAATAGACCATTCGAAGAGCTTGTTCACTGACAAACGATTGTAACTTCCTGAGCATAAAACACACTGTATTCAGTTTCTTTAACAATTTTTCAGACTGTTTTTACCAATTAAGTTGACAATCTAAATACATACCTAAAAAATTAACATTATCAACATCTTTAAGTCTAAAATTATTAAATGTTATCAATAATGTATACTCTGGAGACTTAGGAGTCACAAATTTAATCAGGTGAGTTTTACTCAAATTAAGTATCAGATAGTTATTTTGAAACCAGCTTGAAACCCTAGTCATAACTTCATTTAATTTAATATTCAAAGAGTTTAGGTCATTTGAGGTAATTCAAATTATTGTGTGTCATCCGCGTACAAAATAGCACGTGCTATATCCTTAAGAGTACCTGGGAAATCATTAATATTGTGATGTGTTGTGCCATGGAGGACACCCCCTCCCTCCCCAGCGGTGACGTGGCGGCATCGGAGCGCTGTCGTTACTATGGTAACAGGCAAGTCAACACTCCTTCCCTTACCCCCCAGTGGTGACGTAACACTTTCGGAGTGTTGCCGTTGCTAGGTAATAGGCCAGTCAACACCCCACCCCCTCCCATGGTGACGTGACCAAGGGATGCTGCAGTTACTGCAGAGCAGGAAACAACTCTAGACAGTGCTGCCCAGCAACACCCGTAAACACGCGACTAGGCAACAAGGAAGCAAGGCTTTTCCCGTTGTCTGGCTGAGGGTTTATAAGAGAACTACACTGCCTATGAAGACAGTTGAAATGTAGCCGTCGCTGGAAACAGTTAAATTGGAACAGTCGCCGAGTTCAGTTGTAGCGGAAAGAAGAATATTGGAACATCTGACTAGAAGTGATAGTGTGAGAAGCAGATGCTTGGCTCACCAGAGAAGTAATTGGGAGTGTGTAATACAGTGACATTTGTATAGATCCCGTATCGTACTGTGAATACATGTAGACTAGTGAAGATAAGAGTGAATAGAATATTGTGTAGGGTTTGTANCGCTGCTCCTAAATTCTGCGTTTAGGCTGCTTAAGCTTGTGAAATTCTGTTTCGGCCCTTGCAGTATCGGAAGGGGGAAGAGGGCCCTCGTGACGTGATGAAGGTTGTATCAAGTCGCGAGGTTAATCTTGTGTTTGTAATTTGGAAACGCCAGTAAGTGACTTACTGTTGTATTTGGTTTCCTTTTCATCACGACGCCGTGTGGCGTAAGTAAATGGATTTGTTTGAAGTTTGAGTTGGCTTGAATAGCCGGTCGCCCCTCAGGCGTGTGAATACGAGTGTATATTTCTTTGTGCCCTTAAGGCTCGCCAGAGTACAGTCTTTTCCTAGTCAAATTGATCAATGCCATGAGGCGTGCCTATGCTTGCGTCTGTGCGCTTAGCCACAGAGTAATTCTGTATAAACAGTTGATTATGTTTTGACCAGTGCCTGCCCATCAGGCAGAGTACACCTGTATACCTTTGTTATCAATATACACATTTATTTATATGTTGGAAACGCCAGTTGTATTTGTGTATACTTGGGTTGTGTGTGTTCCCTACTAGTTCAGACTAGCAGATCCGTCCAGCTTGGCCCATAGTGCCGACAGTGGTTTTCCTCTCCCGAGATCCCCTACTCGACCTTGGGGAGGCATAGTGCATCACGTACAAGCAAGTCGTTCTCATGAGCCTGTCCCTTACCCATATTGAAAAGGAGTTCACGGGACTAAGTGGGTAGGAGAACTGGGTTCTCGACCCACAGGGTCGAGGGACTCGACGGCTCAAAGTGGTAGCAGAGCGTGGTTCTCGACCCACAGGGTCAAGGGACTCGACGGCTCAAATTAACAATCCAAACAGCGTCTTCAGTGGAAAAAACACGTTACAATATAAACATTAAGCAACACTGGTCCCAGAACAGATCTGTGTGGAACACCAAACCTTATAGATTTCCATTCAGAGACTGTAGTAGTCGAATTACAAGTATGCAGCACAACTCTTTGCATTCTATTTTTTAAACAAGTCTCCAACCATTTCAAAATAGGCCCTTTGACTCTATAAATTTTCAACTTTTGAATCAACAGATCATGACTGACACAATCAAAGGCCTTATCAAATCACAAAAAATACCTACCACAAACTCCTTATTCTTCCATGCTTTAAGAACAGTATCAGTTAGATGAAAGACTGTGGTTTGTGTAGAAATATCCTTACGAAAGCTATATTGCTCAGGAGCCAGGATATCATTTCTTATAAAATGCTGTTTAAGCCTGCTAAACACTAATATTTCAAATAATTTAGAGAAACTTGTCAATAAAGATATCAGTCTATAGTTCGCAATTTCAGTAACATCACCTTTCTTAAAACATGGTATAATATTTGCAAATTTCAATCGGTCAGGACATATGCCCGAACTTACAGAAAGATTATAAATATAAGTAAGTGGTTTTGCTATCTGTTCACCACATAATTTAATGATTTTATTTGACAACCCATCATATCCACAAGAAGATTTATTTTTTAACGAATTTAATGGTAACACCAAACATTCTTCAAACTTGGATATTTGTTGTGCCACCAAGGGAGCACACATTTAAATTTATTGAGAAAATTATATACGCAAAAAAATGATAGTATCCCTTTGTAATGGAGTAACACATTAATGTGTATAATAAACTTTTTCTGAGATATAATGATTTTATTTTGGATACCTTTCATCCGGACACCCTGTATTTCAGTTTCCAAAATTCCTTGTCCAAAGTCTCTAAGCAGGCACATGCCTGGCTGGAGAAGTAAAACCCATTACACACAATACTGTAAAACTGACGACACATAAACAAACTCAACATGTTCTATAACAGCCTTGGCAAACAATCACTATGATTTGCCTAAGTAGCACAGAATATTTTATTGGTTGACATGCTGCTAAGTATAGGGTGTCTTATTACAGATTTTATGATGACAACAATAATATTTGATAATATAAATCATTACTTACTACAACTGTTTATCAAGCAGGTTGGAACTTCTTTAAATTTCCATCGGTGAGATGGAAAACATTCATCACCTATGTTCCACAGGTTACTACGAATTTTCAAATTTATTTCTTCACCAATCAGCTGTAAGTGAACGTTAACAGTTCACTGAACGATCAAACTCACAGTGACAGTGACTTGTATATTACTGTGATGTTAGTAGAGGAGGAGAATATTTGGACAGCAGATCAACTGTTGTTGGTCTAACATAAATTACTTTACTTTATTTTGCCTGCAATTTCACATATTCATTCTAACACAATTCTCCCTGAGTAGATGCACAGTCCAGCAGCACATAGGTCATGAAGGAGACCTGTACATTTACTGAAGCAACTGCAATTCACTCTGCTGCATGAGTTCATCCTGGAGTAGTCTCTTATTGTAGTTATCCAGTGTCTGCTTGATGGTGGTCTCTGAGTAACGACACGTTTCTGCACCACACGTACAGGTGAAAGACTTGCACTTGATGATCCAGAATTTCTCACCATAGTCGAAACTGGGAAGCATAACCAAGTTCTCAGCAGTCATCAACATATCGCCTGGCAGCATGCAACCATCACTTCAGCTAGTGTTTAACTTTATGGTACTGTCCAAAACCATAACTTGCCAATTTTCCATTTAAATTAGTCAAGCAAATAACACAATTTTCAGATCACAGAAGAAACTATAAAAATGCACCAACAATATTAAAAAAGATCAACAAAAACAAAAAAGAAGCTTGGGAACACCACTCAAATGACATTTTGTAATATCCATAACAAGATTCAACTGGTCTATAATGGAATGGATGATAATAACAAACTGCTATGGTAAAATACAAAACAAAAACATAAGCTCATGCAATACATGATGATTCTTTTCTTTGGCGTCATGGAAATCCTAAGACTAAGCAGTGGGCCTATCCAACTAACTTCATGATATAAACATATTCCTGTGTTGTTGACTGTCATTTGGCTGTTCCAGAAATTCTCCGCTGTTACGACACTAAAGAATCTATACCATCACCACAAACACTACTGTTCAACCTTAACCCAAACAACCTCTGTCTCCTGAACAGACTCTGGTCACACTTTCAAACCAGTTTTGCATGCACTTCACATTTCATCCATTTAGATAATCTATGATTTCACTATCCTAATAGACAGGCCTGAATAAGGAAACATGACCCTTTCAGAAGCACACAAAAGGAAAATAATGGGGATATTTACCATGAACTTGTACCTGAAAAAAATGCAGACACATAAAATGTCCGCACATGCCCAATAAATAGAAGTACCCATAATACACACTACAAGCATTTAATGCATTTGAAGTTCCCTTTTAACAGAAATGTCTGTCTAAACCTAAGGGAAAAATGCATCCAAAAATTAGAAACCCTAACACTGAAAAGATTAAGACATGACATTTTATCAATTCAAAACAAACTTTTCAACTTATTACTGAAAATAATTTCTTTAAACAAGCAGCATATTTCTAATTCCGGTTATTTAAAAAAGTTTTCCTCCCTCTCACTGGATTAATAAAAGATATCACCTTCATAAAGAATATATATTTCAACTTGAACAAAATAATCATGTTTAAATCTCTCAATATCAAATTTCATGCTTTGAGGTTTTCACAGCAGAGATCGATTGGATTGTGGTCTTCTGGGCTGTGACACCATACAGAAATGTGAGTGGTACAGGCTGCCTCCAACTTTAGGGCTCAGGATCAACCCTGGGGATAGAGGCAGCCTGTTCCTCTGAAACACTGGACCCTCTTACAGAGTATTGACCCACCCCAGCTCCTCGTTGGCTTCGATATCTCGGTTTGCAAAGAAGGCGATACGAGGAAAGTGGAGATCCTGATGATCAATGAACACTCGCACTGGCAGCAAATTTGGGACACACATGTGATTGATGAAACGTGCCACATTGCCATAGTGCCTTGCATCAATGCAGTATGTCTCTCCATCCTAAACAAAGAGGACAGACCTAATTTATACCAACACACATATGCATACAGATCCTCTCCTTCAAAACAATAAGAGTTAAAAGATGTACTCAGGGTACACATATTTTCAAACCCAATCTTTGCTACTCTGCCTAGTTCGGTGGACTCTATAACTGTGAAAAGATAATTATGCTACATATACCTACATACACCCAGTCAGAATTTTGTTGTTTTTGTTTTTTATTACTATTCTCCATATAAATTAATGTTTCAAATAATATTAATACCTATGTTTTGTCATGCATCAATTTTGTTACATAATAAGCCCTTTTTCAGAAAAGTGATGACGTTCCATTTGGACTTTTTTGGGGGCCAGTGTCTTGCCCCATAGGTCATCAGGAATCTTGTTCCTGATTGCTTTGTTATCCCATAAAATTATCTGAAGTAAATTGTCATCAATACAGTAGTGCAAAAAGATGTAAAAATATGGGACAACAAACATATTGAAGATTTTTTCAACACCTGAGCCACCACTCAATGCATACTATGACAGAAAAAAATACAAAACAATAATGTCATGACCAAACATCATGACTGCATGTTCATGTCTGAGAGGTCCAAGTTTCAGATCTAGCCCCACAGACTGGCTTACATGACTGAGGTTTTCTTCAGTCCCTTCAGACAAATTCTGGCAGTACATTTAAATAAACCACAACTTCCTTCCACATTCTTTCCAATTCATCATCTGGAATCACTTAGTATTTTACGCTATAAAAACTGTGGAGCATCATTAAAAAACTCCAGAACGAATCAAACAGTGACAGAGACAGCTAGAAGACTTCGTGGTTGTAAGGTGCTGACTGTTTGAATCAAAGACATTACTTATGCTGGAAACCAGTCACATTCTGTGCAGACTTTCTTCCAATGACTAACCCTCACTTCTGACAAAATCAGCACTCTTTAACATGGTGAACATATGGTTACCATAGTTTGGTATCCATGTCCCTCTGGTAAGCATTCTATCAATCCACAATATCATGACAAAATTGTAGAGATATGAAAAATAACATTTGGAAAAATCTGTTAATGATCAAGGAACAATGTACAAGTACTTCAGTGGGTTCAGTAGTTACTTACTCTATTATCTAGATCAAACAGATATGAATCATCTTCCCTGTGATCAGCTTCACAGTCTGAGATGATCTCACCAATATACCTAAAAGCATAAACATCACTTATATGTTACAACAGTCAAGTTGTATGCAGAAATGGGAAAACATTTAAGTTTTCATATTCTCCTTCAAACTTTCAACTACACTTCAACACAAATCAGGCATATTCTGCATTACTTTCATTACAAAAATGCAAAAAGATAACAATTTTAACAGCTAAGCTCAATGAAGGAGTATAAATTACAGTTCCAATGAGTTCCACAGATTTCCTCTGAAAGAAAAGTTCAATGAAAAATGAATTACTAATCACTGAAACTTAATCTTGAACTAAAAGGAAAGTAGGAAACATGACTGGCCAACATCATTCAAAAGAATAATTTTGTGCTTTACTCTTACAAAGAAGTCTTTAATCTTAACTTTCAACAAAATATGTACATAGAAATGGCTTTGTTGCTGTATGCAATGTTTTCATTACACATCTAGATCTACTTTCACATCTTACTAGCTCCAATTACAAAAGTAAATTAAAATGATTTACAATTTCCTTAGTACACTAAATCATTATGTAATAATACATTATAGTGCATGAAAAATGGCACATTTTATACTTACTCACAAACATATGTACCCTTGCTGATTGGGCGAAGAGTTCGCACACCCCAGCCTTTATCTTTGGTACGAAATAGCTGAAATCGTGCTGTCAACCCATGCTGTACCACTCGGTTATGACACGTTATTCGATTACATGAACAACCTTGATTACATTCAAACAACATTGGTGGATCTGTAAAAATAATGAAAAAACAAAAGCATTCACTAAAATGTACTTTAAAGTAACAAAAACGACCTGGAATAGCTGTATATAAAGTGATTAATGACTGGGCAACTAGAGTTCATTTTCCATCAGGGCTGGGATTTTCCTTTATTTTCACTGCCATGTCAATAATGGCTACTGGTCTTATTAAACAACCTATGCTAAAGGCACTACAAATCTTTCTACAGACTGAAGTGACTGGACCAATAACAGAAGAGCATGGAACACAAGAGGAAACATGGAGGAAGAGAGAGACAAGCAGAGTGGAGAGAAGAGAGATGTGAAAAAGGGGAGGATGGGAGATAAGATGAGGTGGAAGAAGAGAAGGAATGGCAAGGAGAGAAGACAGGAGATGAGAAAAAACAAGACCAGAAGCTCTCTATGTTCATTATCAATAACATCACAGGAGAAATCTGCTGTACATAAAATTTGTTTCAATCAAGCTATTTTGCTGGAAGATCACTATTTTTATTTAAATGAAGTATACTTTCAGTTTCCTATGTTCAACTGTCTACACTTAATAGAATACTACAATGCATGAACAGGATGGAAAATGTACAAAATAAATATCAGAAAGAAATAAACTATATTAATTTATGCACAAATTCCTCGCACTATAAGATCCCTAACAAAACATTATAACTTCAAAGCAAGAGAAAAAGACAGAATACTACCAGTACAGATTTAATTTTGCTAATAAGAATATTGAAATATCTAAAACTACCACCAGAAAACAAATTTTTAAGGTGTACTTGTATCTAAACAAATGCCAACAGATGTGAAAATGGCACCAAATTAAAATAATGAAACTGAAGGGGTAATAGTATCAGCAGACCTATAAAAGTGTGAAAAGTTGCAAGTTAACATATTTAATCTGAGAAATGGTCTAAATAGCAACTAAGAAAAAATTTGGTTTGGTTTGTTTTTCCATTAATTTAAATTTTTGGGATGGGAATGAATCACATTATATCTAGGAAAAAATTGTGATACATACAGGAATGTGCAACAAACACAGCATTATCCAGTGCACATAGGGAATGGGGTTTACCAGTTATACGAATAAAACACATTTTCACCAAAATTCCTGCCTGGCAGTCTTCCTACAAGACAAAGACGACTGATGGGTGAAATATTTCAGATACATATCGTTAAATAATCATTCATTCAACTACCCTATGCTGTATCGGCACCTGCATGAGGAAGGATGACGAGTAGTGCCGTGAGTGGCAGCTGGGAAATTACTGGGTGGCAGGTGAATATACGCGCATTGCAAATTCATTTTTAAATAACTTTAAAAGAATGGAAAAAGTTCTCTGTAATTTTTGCCAGTTGAATGAAAATTCCAGACGACTGTGAGTTTACCATATTAAGAACACAAAATTAAAGATATTACAATCTGTGAATTACATTTTTTTTGTATAAAATAATACACATTACTCACCTGCATAGTTGAAGTCAGGAAGAAGCTGCCCTTGATCATCATACCAGCACCTGAGACTGATCTTCCCACATTGGCAGTCCACAGTGGAACACATATCCAAGCATTTGCAGGACTGAAGTAAGGTGATAGTGCGGTCCACAAAGATATTGGATGTGAAACAATTCTCACTCACATACACAAAGTCAGTGGGTTCTCCCTCATCATCCTCCACATTCACACACTGGATAGGATTTTGTTCCTGCCCACGTGAAATATCACTATGGACAAAAACACACTTATGTCGGAGGATTCTGTGATCACAGTTTTCTGTTTTTAGCCTTTTTTCTTTTTCATAATAAATTAAACAATTCATGAAATCAATAATAAAACAGCACACAGTATGATATTCAAAATATTTGTAACTGTGATTTATACAACTGCCAAAATTCCATATAATATTCATTTACCACTTAGTGGCCTCCACAAAAATTATATTTTTATTCTTGGTGTACTGAATGATGATTTCTATACTGATGATTAGTCACTAATGAATTTGAAAGTACACTGACAGTAGCTGTCATGGCTTAATTTAAAGTACCACTGTGGTACCTGCCTAAAGAGACAGTAAAAATACAAAAAGCCAAGTTACTGGACTGAGATTTGTACCTGCATTCTCTACAATATGAAACTGGTGTGCTTGTCACTCAAAAAGTCACATCGGAACAACTGGAATGAAAGTATAAATCAATAAAACATCACAATACACTTACTTTGTTAGAATACGCTGGGTCCGTTCCCTTGGATTTGCAACAATTGCCTTAAGCTGGATATTAAGGTTAATTGCTACATAACAATCACTATTCTCAACTAAGCAGCAATCAAGAGGACTGTCTCCTGCTTTATTAGTAATGTCAACTCTCGCCCCACGTGCCAGTAGCAACAGGACACAGTTGTACATGTTCTGTCGAGCTCCAATGTGACTAAAGTGAAACAGATCCAAATGCAAATACAAACATCAACTTACAAGAAACTGAAAAAGGAAATTAAATGTACACCAATGAAAATACCTATAAATAATATTGATTTACTAATATAAAGTATTAAATTCATAAAATAAATCATGTAAGACTTCATACTGTTGTCTTCTGGATTATGCCACAAATAGTCTGTGGAATATACCACTTCCATCCTTAGGGCAGAAGTGAGACTTGATAATAACTAGGTTTAGGGGATCCTCAAGTTTTTAGTGCTCAGCAAATGTGACATGGCAGGGTTGCCACACAAATAAACCACTACAGGTTAAAGTTGGTGATGATGTTTCAAGATGCAGGATATTCTCTGTGAATGGAAGGATCATAAGACAAGTTTTTCTGCATACCATTGCTACTTACAGGGGTGTGTCACCATGAACATTGGTGCTGTTGACTTCACAGCCATAGTTGAGCAACATCTCAGAAATATCCACACTACCAGAGTATGCCGACCAATGCAGTGCTATGTTTTGTTCTGCATCTCGAATTAGAGGGTCAGCTCGGTTCTGTAATAAATACCTACAAAACAAAAGCTTTTCACCTCAGAAATAATCTGCATAATGTGAAATGTATGCAAATTTTAAATGTTTGTTAAACTTATTTTGAGTTTGATTCAAAGCTTAAAGAAAAGCACATACTGCCTTCACATACATGTGTGCAGAAAAGTTTCTATTCCTGCCATACGGAGTTTCATTAAGTCAATGGCCACCCTTATTACACTTTATTTACCTACTTCAATTTGCATAAATTCTGTACAGTTTGGACTACAACTTACATGGAATTCTAACAGTTGGTTCTGGAAAAAAGTTTGTGTACTATATATAGATACCAATAAAATGTTGATACCAACTTGAACATTTTTACATTAATAGATTCTCAACATTCCTCCTTAATTTCAAAATGTTACAAACACATTTCTCATTTTCATCCTTTTTTCCTTTGATTACAACATTTTTGTCCTTGAGTATCTGGACTTTCTCTTTTGTAAACAAAACTTCTCCATCATTTTCAGTAATACAGTGCACTGACAGCAGGTTTTTGCTCAGTTCTGGAACATAGGAAACGTTTTCCAGACTACACTCTTTAAATTCCAAACTGCCTATTTCTTTTGCAGTCATACTTTGATTTTTCTTTGCTACCTTTATACACTGAGTATACTGCTTAGTATGTATCAAATCAGTCATTTGTCATATCACCTGTGCTAGCACTATTCACGAAACAGATTTTGTCTTTTTCACTTGCATCACTCACATGGGTTTCTGCTGCTTGAGGTAAAAAATTGACCTTGCTTCTTTTATTCCTATCTTTAAAATAACAGTCCTTTTCAGCATGGTTCGTTTTCTTACATACTGTACATTGTTTTCTCGTATCACTGTCCTTATTTCTAAAGTAACAGTCCTTTTCAGAGTGATTATTCCTTTTACAGATAGAGCAATTTCTCTTACCTTTGTCGGGGCAGTTCATCTGGGCATGACCTATTTGATTACAACTGAAACACTTGAAAGGGGTTTTACTTTTGGTTTTAGTTACTGTGTTAAAAGCTATGCTTTCCTCTTCTTTAGTTGTCATCTTGCACTTCACTTCTTCCAACATCAATCTGGCCACTAGGTTGTCAAGGGTTCTGTCCACGGTCGCCATTGAGTCCCAGGCAGTGCTAAAGTGTTTGTAGTCTTCTGGTAGAATCATTGTTATTTTTGTAATGATCATGTTTTCATCAATGTTTTGGTTCAGTTGATGAAGCTTGAAGGCAATGTTCTGCACATGACTTATATTCGTCATCATATCCTTAGTTCTGTCATACTTGAAGTTGTAGAAGTCTTGCAGCAGAAGGCACTTCTGTTGAGAGATGTCTCACTGATAAATTTGCTTCAAGGTGTCATACATTTCTTTTGCAGTTGTGCATGTGACAATGTGGGTCTTCACGTGTTTCTCTATCATTCTCACTATGCAGTATTGGCACTCTGCATCTCGCATCTTCCATTTCCTTATATTTTCTTCATCTCTTCCTTGGTCATTTAACAGGTCACTGCCATCAACGATGTTTATCAGCTCTTTTGCACAGATCAGAATCTTGATTTCAAAATCCCATAGTGGAAATGAGTCGGCATCCTTCAGTTTTGGCAGATGAGTTACCTCTTCTGTCTCTGTGGTTGCCATTTTTTCGTTATTCTTCTTCTGTCTTCTCCTTTTTTCCTTTCTTTCCTTTTTTTCTTTTTTTTTTTGAGCAAATCTGGGCCCATAACCTGTTGATTTTCTTTGTGTCATGCTTACATATCACTTAACAGCCATACTGGATGAGAAGAAACTTTTTATTATAATACAAAACAAAAACAAATGAATATAGATCACTATTACCAACTTGAACATTTTTTACATTACTAGATTCTCAACATAAAATACTGGGGCTTTACAAAATCAGAAATAAAAAATGGCCATTTTCACCTAAAACCCAAAATCAATTACTTTTAGAATACCTCATTCATTATGTTCCACGCATATATGAAGTTTATTGTTCAAAAGATGTTAGTCATTATTGATAAGATTCATATTACAGGTAAAATTTTAAGCATTATCAATCTGCCATTGTTCCTAAGGTCCCTGACCTTTAAAGCATCTCCTACTTTTTCACTTGCGGTAGTTGGTTGAGGAACTATGATACAAGTGGTAGTTGGTTGAGGAACTATGATACAAGCCAGAAATTTGTGGGTTCAAGTCCCAATGAAGTCATTGGATTTTTTTCAATTGACCTAATCCTTCCAGCCGCACTATGGCCCTGGGGGTGACTCAGCCTATAACAGAAATGAGTACCAGGAATATTCTTGGGGGTAACGGACGGCCAGCACATAGGGCTGACAACCTTGCCACCATCTAGAAAATCTATAAATCTAGAAAATGTGGGAATGTCAACATCTCACAACATTATGGGCATCCACGGCCTGTTACAGGGATACCTTTACTTACTTATATATTTTACAAGTATCTTAAAACAAAGCTGCAATAAAAATATCTGGACAGATGAATTAAATGAGAGTGAAGAAAATAATGCAGTGAGAAACATCATTTATTGCATTCTTGTACAAACATTATTATGGAAATGAAAGAATAAATGACACACTTAATCTGACGTATAACACAGAAGGGAGAATTAAGGAAAACCACCAGGATTTAAGCCATAAGATTTCATGGAAAACAAACATCAATATGTATCATGTTGACAATGCTGGATCTCAACATCTTATATCTGAACTAGTTAAGTCACCTTAAGTGTCTGAGGGGAGAACCACTTTAAAACAAAATTAATAAGCTACCTGCAGGGAGAATTCTGTCACAGAATACAAAAAATCTAAATGTGCTCTGCTAAAGTGACTCGCTGCCTGACAATTTAGCTTCCACCAGTGGGGTGCATTAGATTTCCTTACTCTAAAATCACCTCAACAATGTCCAACTGGCTGCATCACCAACACAAAATACACTTCATGTGTTTTAGGATTACTGGGATTCTGGACTATGTCCACTGTCTAGCATTTGAAACGGAACATATTGTGGGGACAGATCCAGTTTCCAAAACACTGTTTTGTTTGGAATACAAGATGACAGACAAAGTCAAGAAAGTAAGTGATCTTAAGCGCAATACACCCATGTCCAAACCCTTCTGAACTTATTTAATTTGTACTATGTTATAAGCAAATGTCCTCACTGATAGGATAATTTTCTATACAATAATCAGAATCTGTGCAACAGATTGATTGCTTACCTTGCAACATCAACATGACAATGCTCAGCTGCCCATACAAGCGGAGTCCAGCCTCCATCATCAACAACATCAATGTATGTCTTTACTGTATTTGCTACAGCTAGAAGATAGTGACAGGACTCAATGTTGCCAGCCTTAGCAGCAAGGTGAAGTGCAGTCATTCCATCACTACCCTAAAGAAAGTTAAATGAATTTTGCAAATTTGTCTGTAGAGTAACAAAAACATTATATTTAAATGCTTAACTATTTACTGACACACAACCAATTTTTAGACACCCTATACAATACACACCTTATGGACATACGTCTGTCAACCCTCCTGGTTCTTATTCCCATTGTATTTTTAACCCCTTGAATGCCACATTTTTCAGTCATACCTGTTTAAGAACCTTTGGAGTCAGAATTTTATTTTTCAGTATTAGGCATGTGCAAGTTTCGGGTTTCTACACCAAAAAGAAAAAAAAATCTTGATTTAGATGTTGATTTTTCAGTCTTGAACTGTCAGAATCCTTTGATAATTGCTTCTGCTTTTGCCAGTCTGACATAAATGATCCAATTAATCAGAACCCTAATGATTGGCATGCTATTATGAATCAATTAGACTTTTGTGCACTGTTAAAAATTAGTTAGTGCTAGAAATTGTAACTACAGTGAAATAATTTGTCTAGCAAAGAAAATTTTCATTCTTGTCTCAATTATCAAAATTTATGCAAATTCTCATCCCAAACTGAATAACTAATTTTTGCATATGCTTACAAACATTAATATAAACATTTCAACTTTCAGCTTTGGTGGAATTTTCTTGAATTTATTGAGACAAACATGCCTTTCACATTTAATTTTTCTCAATTTAACATTTTCCTTGATTTAGCATTCAACTTTCCCAGTCCCACACACATTTCCTCATTGTTAAATGCTCTATTCTCATGTTTTCATCACTTTAATGTTAAAATCCACTGTTCCCCAAAGTAATTTAAAACAGCATTTTATCCAACTTCCTTTAAATATATTTCAACAAGAAAATATACTATGAGTGTATCTGGGATCACATAAACAAAGCTAGACACAAAATAGATTATCTTGATATGATGCAAAAAATAATATGAAAAAAAAAAAAACAGAAAAATGTGAAACTGACACTGATAAGTTTAGTGATAGTACAATATTATGTAGAACTCTTCAAGAACTATGTAAAAATATAATATAATAAAGGCCAATGTGCAAGGAAGAATAAAAATTAAAAACATTTTCATTGAATTTTCACCAGCTGGGATCAGATAAAATAAGCGTGACAATGTATCACAGCAGCTGTGTACAAATAATCCCTCACCTTAATCATCACATTTGCTCCTGCTTTTACTAAATATTTCACTACATCATTATGGTTTGACATTGCTGCCAACATAAGTGGAGTATTCTGATCACGATCCAAAACATCAAGCTGTACCCCCGCCTGCAGAAGGATGTGTACAATAGACAGATGTCCACCTGAACATGCTGCATGAAGTGCTGTGCCCATTGAACATTCCCGAAATAAATGATTTGGATTAAGTCCACTTCCTGAAAAAAAAATGGAGCTACTCAGAATTCCCAACTCTTTATGCATTTCTAACATAATTACATCACATAGTGATAATCCCCTTTGGGGAGGAGGAAACTAACATTAAATGAAGGCTAATTTTACACTAAATTTGTATACAAAAATTCACAACTTAATTTTAAAGAGTAAATTCCCTCTCATCGAAATACTAATAATATTTTTGCACGCTCACCTAGTATCTGAACCAATTTTTCTGCATTCCCAGATTTTGCAGCTTGGTAAAAACTCTTCAATGAATACCTAAACACACACACACAAAATTATGTTTATAATTCCTTCAGTCATAAGCATTCAAAAGCAACACTTATAGCTATTTAATACAGTAATTTTGTTTGATGATGAAATATGAAGACATGTTTCATTTTACTTGCAGTTACCGTCTGAACAATTAGAAACAGAAACTCTTTCCTCTGAGGAGGATCAATTTCTTGGTATCTTCATGTATAACAAATAATCATAGTAATAATTTTATTTTTACAGTGAAACCCCAGTTAATGTTTCTCGATATAGCATAATTACTGTTCCACAAAAGAAATTGAATGGGGATTTCACAGTGTAATACTTGTCCTACAGGTCCTGCCAAAAAAAAAAAAAAAACTTTACCACGTGCTTGCTGTTCTTCTAAACAGTAAGTTCTGAACTTTCATCAGGTGTTTGTTTGGAACGCCAACTACTGTCTTTAAAACACGTGGGATCACTGTTCAATGACAACCCCATTAAATAATTGCCTGAAGAACAGCACATCTGAACAGTGCAATGAGTAAAACAATGAACTGAAGCCTAAGGACCCAGCTTCAAATTGATGAATATACAATTTTTACTGATCATAATATCCATTATTTTATCAATTTTAAAGAGTTACAGAATTTTAAAATAATTATGTAAAATTCAAAGAAAGAATGCAAGCTGCTGACATACAAGCAAGAAGCTTGGCTAGCCAATCTAAAGTACACTGACAAGCAGTACACACATTAAAACTTCATCCAATAATGTTCACTTAAAAATAACTATATAGTAATGTTTGGCAAAACAATGATCTATTCACAGTAAATATTGGATCCATAATGCTGCAAGTATAATGGCTCCACTACATTGGAATAAGTATTCATGACAACTGGAGTTTTGAGTTTGCAAATCTGAACTCAGAGAATATTCCACATATTTCCGAATAAGCAATGCAACTAAACATGCATATTACAAAAGAGCAACGGTTAGCAATACCTTGCTCACAAGATACTCATTCAGTTCTTCACAAAGGTGTTTGCTGCATTTACGTCAATCCAAAACACACTCAAATCTAAAATGAGTATATGAAATAGAGGCTTTGAATGAAAGATGAAAAATTTGTTTCCATATGGTCACTGCAGGTTCAGCAACACTATCTCACATGTTGTATACTGAAACCCACTCTGTGTCAGGTTAGCCCATTTCATATCCTTACATCCTATTACTCATGTATTATTAAAATTTTAACCCTCCTTTTCCTCATGCTTCCATGTGACTATTATCTAAGACAAATTCTCATAAAATTCTGTAATCATTACTTGTGTCCTCCAACCAAGCTTATTTTTGCCAAACCAATTGGATTTTTGGCATGGCTGTCTACAATGGCAACTGATGATGAATTGCAGTACCGCCTTTGAACCCATATATTGTATGTGTAATCTTGACAGGATTCACTATAGATAACCTGCAGTCATCTAAAAAAATATTTGTTAAGCCATCTCAGCCTAACAAAGATCAATAAATTAATGTTACAAACATGGCTATTTGTAACATGTACGCTGTTCCAACTTGTCATCTATGTACATGCGTACATCCTCATAACCAGGGCCCGGATTTCTATGACATATTTTTTTCCTAGGGTTTATTCCTATTTTTAAATGTAATTATGCATGTTTCCAGTCATTCTTATTGAAATTATGTCGTTTTTATTGTGCACATAAATGCATATTTTAGAGTTTTATTGGTTTTACAGCATATTTTGGCATAATTTT